CGACAACGACCTCCCCCACGCATGCTAAACTTATCATGGTAGAGGCTTTCAGGGCGTAGCCAAGCTTAAGACAGGACCCACCAGGCGCGATTCCACCGAGAGGGACCGATGCGGGTGACACATTTGCGCCCCCGTTGGACCATCACCGAATCAGCTTTCCACCGTTCCTGAAATCTCTTGGCAGTTCTCCCCCATGCACTCATGACCGACTCACCCTTGCACGCCTCGAAAGCCTGATCTACGTCTACGGCTGCACACGATAGGCCATCCAACTTGGCCCCGCAGCACTCACATGGCCACTCGCAGCTCCCCTCGTCCGTGATGGTCCGTTCAGGGGGAGTGAGGTGGCTCAGGGTCTCCCTCAGCGCGGGGACGACGTCGTCCATGCTGAAGACTTCCCTGGAGCGGCCCGTGCCAGCCACGACCGCACGCACGGCGCGCCCCATGGTCCTCCAGCCCTTCGCGAACGGGGTGCCCGCCATGTCCACGACGCGGCGGACGCAGGAGTGGCCCGCCTTGGTGCAGAGGTGGCCGCCCTGCGGGTGCCAGCACTTGCTCTTGACGAAGGCGAAGACCTGCGGGATGCGGGAGGCCACTTGCCGAACTCGTCGCCGGAGAAAATCTGGAAGACCAAGGATGGCTCGTGCCTCCGCCCATACTAGGCACGCCGATGGGCACATCTCGGGTCGAAAGCGCCACGCCTCTGTGTCCTTAGCCATGCCGAGCAGGAGGTGCGAGGCGTACTCCTTAGTCGTGGTGCTCCATGCTCGGGTGTGGAGTCTATCATCATGGAGGAAAGTAGTCGATGAGCTCAAAGATGTAGCCATACGTGTCTCTTCCTTGAGCCAAGCCTTGGGTGCTGCAGGACAGACTTGGCGGGATAGTAGGTTATCCAATGTTGCACGACACCGTCGTTGCACTCTGGGATGAAGACGCTGTTGTGAACACCAAAATAGCATAGCTTTCAGGGCTGTTCTCTTGATCCGTCGTGCTGTCGGCCACCGCTTCAACCTCCATGGAGCGTCATACGCCTCCAAAGAAGGAAGTTGGGCCCATCGTCCTAGATTTGAAACGTTTGATTCGGATACCCAAGCCTTTGGTAGATCTCGGAGAACTCGTTTTCCATTCAAGCGCTGGACCCAGGTCTGATCCTTTTGATATCATACTTTAATGTGTTTCTGGATCCACGATCTCGCTGGTGCCACTCGCATTGCCTGTAGGGATGACCATGCAAGCTTCTTGACCACATTCTTATGCTTCCGCAGAAAGGTTGGTAATAAAATTGGACGCACTTGCAAAGGTGGGAGCCGTAATCGTCGAAGATGCCATTCAACATTTCGTCGAGCTGCGAGTTGTCGGCCCATCCCCTTCACGTACTTTGTCAAAGAGCCCCCTGCACGATATAGAACGGAGGCAGCTTGAGCTCGATCCCACTCTGGTGGAAACTCGAACCGTGGTTTTGCCGAGGCGACAAAAGCGAGGAATAAATTTGTCCACTGCGGTTGTAAGATGGATAGTGGGCCATGCTCCCCTGACGTAAGTAAACTATGTAGCTGCACTCGTTGATACAAGGTCCTCCACGGACCCCAACTATCAGAAATGCACTTCACCTCCTCCTCACTCTTGAGCTTCTTAGTAAACGCATTCTGCACTGGGTGTGCGAGCCAGGCTGATGACACCGACGCTGTAGCACGAAACCTCTTGTGGGGTCGTCGTCGTCGGACAGGTGGCTTGAGGCGAAGAGGATCCGCCTGCTGGGTCATGGCACGCAGCTGCGCCACATCAAGACCATTGCACGGTGGGTCCAGCATGCCAATGAGGCTAGACTCCATGGCCAGGGCTCGCACCTCAGACTCGAAGTGATACACTGGTAGGTAGGCCACTGAGCCCAGCGACTCCCGTAGTAAACGATACCGTGCGATCTTCCCATCACGTGTGGCTGGTAGTCGGAGCGCTCGAAGATGTTCCATCGCGCGGGCCGCGACACCTGAGGGAATCCCCGAGCGACGTTGGCCATTACACTTGCCGATATAGAAACCAGAGTGCGCAAACAGGACATAGATGTAGGTAACACTCTTGGGCTCGAGGATGTCTGCGTGGACTCGCGTGATGTAGTCCGTGTTCTTCTGCTGGACTGCGGCCTGGACAAGCGGGGGTAATGCGGGCCAGACACGTCGAGCCCAAGACATCGGTCGGCGCCGTACATGAGCTTTGTGAAGAAACGCCATCCCGAGCGTCGACCAAACCACAGCGAGGTTCTCCCCCAGGCCCGTAGTATTACGGCCTGCTACCTGCTGGGGGCCCGCGATCTGGTCTGCTAGCTCAGCGACGGCAAGCGACAAAGACGGGATATCATTCTGCTGCAATCTGCCAATCGCCCATCCAGATACCTGAGCTCCAGCTCCACGTCCAGGGTGAAGGAGAGCTGCTCGAACTTGTTCGACTTGGTCCTGCGGCCACCGGCCGTGGTGGGAGGGACGTGGCCACGGTAGCCTGACTGGCATCTGGAACTTCGCCACAGAAATATGTATTGAGCCCTGCACGACCGTGGAACTGCGTTCGGCCACGTGCAGGTGGAAGATGATTCTCTTGTGGCGATAACTCTCGTTATCATATCATGCGGCTGACTGGCATGGCACCGAGCTGCAACAGACTGGAGCGTGCGTGCGTCTGCGAACTCCCCACTCAGCCTACTCGGCTACGGACAAACGCGATGATGATGATGATGATGATGATGATGATGATGATGATGATGATGATGATGATGATGATGATGATGATGATGATGATGATGATGATGATGATGATGATGATGATGATGATGATGATGATGATGATGATGATGATGATGATGATGATGATGATGATGATGATGATGATGATGATGATGATGATGATGATGATGATGATGATGATATGATGATGATGATGATGATGATGATGATGATGATGATGATGATGATGATGATGATGATGATGATGATGATGATGATGATGATGATGATGATGAGATGATGATGATGATGATTGATGATGCTGATGATGATGATGATGATGATGATGATGATGATGATGATGATGATGATGATGATGATGATGATGATGATGATGATGATGATGATGATGATGATGATGATGATGATGATGATGATGATGATGATGATGATGATGATGATGATGATGATGATGATGATGATGATGATGATGATGATGATGATGATGATGATGATGATGATGATGATGATGATGATGATGATGATGATGATGATGATGATGATGATGATGATGAGGAGGAGGAGGAGGAGGAGGAGGAGGAGGAGGAGGAGGAGGAGGAGGAGGAGGCGGAGGCGGAGGAGGAGGAGGAGGAGGAGGAGGAGGAGGAGGAGGAGGAGGAGGAGGAGGAAGAGCACGAGGATGAGGACGAAACTCGTTTGGGCCGTCTCTGGGCTGTTGTGGCCTTGGGTGAGCCAGTCTTGGGGGTCCCTTGGGGTTTTCTTACGCCGTCTTTGGGCCCTCTTACGCCGTCTTGGGGCTTTCCAGGGCCGTCTTGGGGTCCACTTGGCCGTGTGCTGGGTGTCTGGGGACCGTCGTGGGGCCGTCTGGGCCGTCGACGCTAATGCCGTCTTGGGTCCCACGGGAGGCGCTCTTTGGCCGTCTTTCGGCCGTCTTGGGGCCGTCGTGGATGCCTCTTGGGCCATCGCGGAGTCCTCTTGCAGCTCGGGACACGTGCCATTAGTTTGATGAGGGATCGAGGCTTGGGAGGCCCTGGAGCGCTTGGTAGCAGCGTCTAGGACTTCGGGAAGTGCACGATCCTCGAGTGGGGGGTGCGCGTGGGATGAGTGTTCTAGGAGGTAGCAACCATGCGGGAAGTGCGCAATCCTCGAGCGGGCGCTCATGGAATGAGGATTCAGGCATTAGCTGCCATGCGGGAAGTGCAACATCCTCGAGCGGGCACGCGTGGAATGAGGGTTCATGCATTAGCTGCCATGCGGCAAGTAAACCGTCCCCGAGCGGCCACGAGGGAAGTGGCCTCGGAAAGCAGGGGCGGTGCACGCAAGAGCTTGCGTCGAGAAGGGCGTGGGCTCTCTTGTTAGAATTCGAAAAACCCGACCAGACAGACCTTGGCTGCAGCGTCTGCAGGACCCCATCGAGTGGAGAAGTATTCATGAACACATTGCAGGCCGCGATGATGAACGCGATTCCCAGTGGCTCTCTGTAACATTCTTCACATACCTTGCATGTGATGCCTGGTGCCTTGGCGTCCTGTTTCTTTATCGGTTTTCGCCCACGCGCTTCGGCGTGTGGCTCAGCGTAGGCAGACCTTGGCGGCATTCTTCTACGCCTCAACCGCCTCAACGCGCCAGGGGTCACGGTGGCGGATATACTGGAGATAATGCCGAAAGGACCCCCTCGCGCGCAGGCTCTCCCGTTGCAGGCCAGTCTTCGCGTGGCTCCAGTGCTTGCTCGGTGCAGCTCGTGGGCATACAATCCTTTCTCAGGGGAGGCCTGGATCTCGGATTCGGACTATTGTGTCCTTTGCCAAGGGGGCATCAAACATGTCCGCAATAGTTCGTGCCATCGTACGCGCGGGATACGCACTCCGTGCAAAAGTATCAGCACCGTGGCTGCCACGCGCCATGCGCCACAGGATGAGCTGCTGCATTTTCTTGTCTGCGACCCCATTACACGCCGGTCGTTGAAAGTAGGTATTTTTGGATTCCCAGATCCCAATCTACTTCAAGCGCCTTCCCACTTCGAGAATCGACATGCTTTTGCTGTGTTTTGTTCTTCTCTGGGAGGACCTGGGCCCAATCTACTATAGCCGCCTTCCTACTTCATGTTTCTACCTACTTCTTCCGACCGACGTGTACGACAGACCCCCTTCGCCCAGAACCAGCGCTCGTCGCAGGGGGGCACAGCGCCGGAGATGGGCGGGGGGGATCCTCCTCCTCCTCCTTCTCCTCCTCCTCCTCGCCCCCTGCCCTCGGGCCGCCCGCGAGGAGAGGCCCTGCAAGCAGCTCATGAGAGCGGCCATCGCGCGCGGCGCGTGCCGGCCGAGCTTCGCCCCCGCGGCGGCGGTGCAGGCCAGGTGCTCGGGTGCCGGAGGAGGAGGGGGAGGAGGATGAGGAGGAGCAGGGGGAGGCAGATGGGGAAGGAGGAGGAGGATGAGGAGGAGGGGGAGGGGGAGGAGGATGAGGAGGAGGGGGAGGAGGATGAGGAGGAGGAGGAGGGGGAGGCAGATGGGGAAAGGAGGAGGAGGAGGAGGAGGAGGAGGATCGGGATGGCTAGGGCGGTCGGGGAGGATCGGGAGGGAGACAAGGAAGATGAGATGGAGGATCGAGAGGATCGGGAGGAGTGGCAGGAGGAGGAGGAGGAGGAGGAGGAGGAGGAAAACCAGAGTAAGCCCAGAATGCGTCAACGATGCTGTAATACACGCTCTCTCCCCAGGCGCCCCCTTCACATTTTTTCCAAGTATTCCGTTTCCCTGCGAGAGCTCCCCATGACGAGCGGTCGGTGGGCCTATTAGTCAGGCGAGACACCGTCTTTGTAAAGGACGTCCAGTGGTGTTGTGTCCTCGTTCTGAAGAGAGCGCCCTGCGCTCCTTTCTCCTCCCCCTTCTCCCTCCTCCCACCCCTGCCTCTGCCCTCCGCATTCCGCACGGCCTCATCATCATCATCATCATCATCATCATCATCATCATCATCATCATCATCATCATCATCATCATCATCATCATCATCATCATCATCATCATCACCATCACCATCACCATCACCATCACCATCACCATCACCATCACCATCCTCATCATCCTCATCATCCTCATCACCATCATCACCATCATCATCATCATCATCATCATCATCATCATCATCATCATCATCATCATCATCATCATCATCATTACCATCATCATCCGCATCGTTATCATCATCAACATCATCATCACCACCATCATTGTCATCACCATCATCATCATCATCATCAATATCAGCATCGTCATCTTTACCACCATCATCATCAATTCAGCATCACCAGTTCAACCATATTATTATTCACAATCATCACCACCATCATGGCCACCACCACCATGATCATCATCATCATCACCACCCTCATCATCACCACTATCACCATCACCATCATCGTCATCCTCATGATCATCATCATAATTACCATCACCACCATCATCATCACCATCATCATCACTTCATCATAATAATCATCATCAGCATCATCATCATCATCAGCATCATCATCATCAGCATCATCGTCGTTTTCCGCAGCCACTTTGGCTCAACTTCGAACTGCTCCATAACGTGTCTCCTCATCCTCCGCATCATCACTATCCTCACTGCTACCCCGCCCCCTATTCGCCGCCCTCAGATCACACTCATCATCATCCCTCCTCGTCCTTTTCCTCTTCCTGCTGTTTTAGAGGTTTTCGGCGGGTGAGCGGATGTCTTGGGCGGGGTGAGGGGATTCGGATATGCTTGAAGGTTTTGGGAGGTTCTCGAAGTGGTTTGCGACGTTCCAGAGGAGTTCGGAGGTGCCTGGAGGTGTGGTAAACAAGGGTGTGGAGGACGATGAGTGCCTGCTCTGTACCCTCCTCCCGCTCTTCTCTCGCTCCCCCCTTCTCGTTCTCCTCCTTCCCGTCGCCCTCTTCGTCCTCTTCTTCCCCTTTGTCCTCCTCTCCCTCCTAACCCTCCTCGCTCCGTTGCCGTTCTCCCTTCCTTCTTGTCCTCCTCCCGCGTCTCCTCGTCCTGCCTGTCTTCATCCTCAGGGCATTCGGCTGTCCACTGGCGCTGTGGAGTTCCTGCAGGCTCTACTCAACCGGGACCCCGAGATGAGGCTGCTGCGTTCGTTTTCGTCGTCGTCGCCGACGTCGTCATCGTCGTCGTAAGAGGAGGTGGAAGATGAGAGGGAGTGGATGCTGAGGGGAGACGAGAAGGGTAAGGAACAGCAGGAGGTGGAAGAGGGAGCGATGATGCGATGATGGTGAAGAGGAGGACGAGGAGGAATAGGGTAAGTTTTTATTGTCAGTTGGAGAACAAGAGGAAGAGCAAGAAGAGGAGGAGGAGGAGGAGGAGGAGGAGCAGGAGGAGGAGGAGGAAGGGGCGGCAAACGGCAGTCAAGGGGTGAGGGGGGATTCTACGGAACGCGGATGGCGATGATGTTCATAATGATAACAATGGCTTTGCATATGCTCATGCTGATGGCGACGGCTGAGATGTCAGTGGGGATGACGACGACTACATCGACGACGGCGATGTCGATGATGATGCTTATGATGCTGACGGTGATGATGTCTATGACTATGGTATGGATGTTGCTGTTCTGGTTGCGGTTTTGATTGTGGTTGTGATTGTTGTTGTTGTTGTTGTTGTTGCTGTTGCTGCTGCTGTTGTTAATGTTGTCGTTGTTGTCGTTGTTGTCGTTGATGTCGTTGTTGCGGTTGTTGTTATTGTTGTTGTTGTTGTTGTTGTTGTTGTTGCTGTT